CACCTGCTTTGGTTAACCTTTCAGCACTGAAAGTCAAACCTCTAAAAAAATTTAAAAAAAACACACACACAACCTGGTGTGGCTGATGTTTTTTTTCTTTGTTCTTTGTTTGCTCAAGAAGTATTTTTTGGCCTTGCAATTATTGATAAAAAAGTCAGAAAAAATGCCTGTAGACCAGAAGAGAATACAAAATTCCAGGGCAGCTAAAACCAAACTGTGGAGTTTTGTTAAGGTGAGGTTTGCCGCAAGATGACAATTCACTGGCAAATTGTGCAAAAGTAAAATATTGCTTTAATTGTGTGGGAATCAGATGCACAATGTAGGTATCAGCCGATTATTATTCACAAAGGTTAATGTCATGACGATTTTAGAAATTCATTTAATTTGTTTGACCTTACTATACCAGTGCAACGCTGGCATAAATGTTAAAACTTGCTTTTTTAAAAGCTCAGGCAATCATACAGAAAAGTCTTACAAACAGAAAGCTGTTTTATATTCATGAACTACTTTGCCACTTTTTCAAGCAGGTAGAGAAAAAAATAATGCACAGAAACGAGATTCACAGTCAGAACTGAGGCAAACTCCTCATACAGTGCTGCATTAGATCATACAGCACAATCCTGTCCTGGTAAATTTCTATTCCCAAAACATTTTAGAAAATATTTTATACAAAATGCAAGAAAACCAAAGCTCTTTCACCAGCAGGTCAAGCAACAACATCTGATAAATACTGTCCAGTGAGCCACATGTGCTTCAAGTGCTGACAAACAAATACAGCATTTCCAGAACTTTCTCTCAGATACTCTGACTTCCACTTTCTCAGAGAAGACAGCAACACTGAGGGGAGTTCTCTTCCTACTGCTATCTCTGAATCCTTCTTCGACCAAACTCTCAATACTGTACATCATCTCCTTCTAATTCTTTGTTTATGGGTAAATAAAATCTAAATAACAACAGCATTACCAAGTCCAGCCCACTACTGACTCATTGTGCATGTGTCTGCTGGGGGTTTGCACATAACTGGCAGACACCAGCTCGGTTTCACAACTGTGGGATAAGTGAAGTGAGTGTGACATATAGAGGGCAGGTGGTGCCAGTCAAGTGAAGTACACAAGCGTACTCCCAATCTGTACTTCCTTAGCTCCATAATTAGTTATTTTTCCATAGCAATCTCCAAATTATGTCATCAGGCCTTACAGAGTACTCATTATTCACTGCAACAAACAAGCTGGAAATAACACTCAATCCTATGGAGACCTGAGAACTGCGTTCCAGGGAGGGACTAGAGTCGCTGTGTGAAACCAACAAGAACCAACACGACACCTGGCATTTTCCAGCTAAAGTGGGCTGTTGCACACTGCTGAGCACAATGGCAAGGCATGCTTCTTAATTGTGCAGGTTTGAGAATACTGCGAGAAAAAAGATCACACATATGGTTGTACATATAAAGGCTTAAAAACCGTATGCCTTTTGTTTTGATAAACATGCAACATTTATGGAAGAAACAGATATGTTTGGTGTCTTGATCGGATGCAAAAACATTTACTAAAAGTTACTGTGACTTAGCAAGAGCTCAAGGGTGTATCTACTGTGTGAATCATGCCCATTTATAGCAGTTAGCTAGTCAGTGTTTGCCAACTGTAATTACTTATTTTTATAGGTAACGCACCACAGAACTCAGTTGTAGAAAAATAGTTTAAACGATCAGAGACAATTAAATCACAAATAAAAGGAAACAAACCTAAATATCTGATGCAAAGAGAGCAAATATGTTTTCTTGTAAAAACTAAAATGTGTACTTTTCTTTCATAGTATGCCTGATAATCATTAATCATCATTATTTTGCTATAGGTTACACTTTTTAATAGTGTATGTTTGCTATAAATAAACTCAACAACTTGCCTTGCTGTAATCTTGGAAGAATAGGCAGGGGAAAATCACCTTTGCATTCATTGTTATTTTCAGTGTGACCGAATAAACAAAAAAAAACATGAAGGTATACTGATGGCAGGTTAGACCTGTCCCCTGTTGTAGTAACAATTTTAAAACTGAACATGGTTAAACACTACCATGTTAGGGTTAACTTAATTGATTTCCTCTTTAACTTTTTAAAAGTAAAAGTCATCTTCATGCACAAACAAAACAGATACATATACATTCAAAACTGTAAAAATCTGCAAACAAACTGATCATATGATCAAGCTCAAACAAAACCTCATTGTGTTCATTCCAAATAGCTGCATGATTCCTTAATTTCTGATAATAAAAAGGTTCTATCTTCAACTGGTTTGTAAAATTTTAAGGAGTTTGTGAGAAGTTTGTTTTATTAAATATTTCTAAATATCCTGAATTATTATTCATTTATTGCTTGTATTATTCAGTCAATCACTCACCGCTCACCACTTTCAGTTTTATGACAATTTATTCAAATGAATAAAAGGGTTTTTCACAGAGCCAACGCAGATGAAATGATAATAGAAAACACTTGAGACATTGCAACATGAAAGAGGTCTAATATATTTTAGTAAAATGGACTACAGTTAGAATGAAATCTAACAACAGGTCAGCTGTAAGAGGAAATTAAAATGTTTCAATAGTGCCTACCTGTAAACACTGATAATTGATAACAGTTCATTCAGTTGAGAGTTACAGGGTTTGCAGTATTAAGATCAGAGAATGTAAACAATTTTTTTTTAAAGATGGTATTAAGATAAAGCTCTTGGGAACTGGTACAACACCTGCACATTATCCTGCAGTGTCTGCACTTTCATAAAAGTGACAGGGACACTGACTTAAAGTCACTGCAAACATTTTAAAGAGGGTAATTAGTTAACAGTTAAAGGCAGTAATCACCTAGAACATAAAAGGACTCAAAGGAAAACAAACTGGAAATGGGCTGGTACCATTCACATCACAGTCGGATTCTAGAGGTCATGTGCTAAGTCCTGTTAAGAGCCTCAAAGGGCAAACGCTGCACATTGAGCACTTTTGTGTGAGTGTTTAGAAACACAGGGAGATTTTAAGCACACAAACATGAAAAATATCAATTTCACATTTGGTTTAACGCTTTCACACTTTGTGTCACTGACACCCAGAGAGAAGGGCTGTGGAAGACAAAACACAGCTCCTGGATAAGGATCATGTTAATTCCTATCAATTAGGATCAAAAAGGGATTAACTGGCATGGTTGCAGCGGTAGGATGGGGGCCCATGCAAAGTCACTGAATACTAGGGGTCACACCCCCGACTTCATTAGACCTGACCTTTGCACGCCATTGTGCGACAGGAAAGAGACCCTGCAGTCTGTGTTCCCCCTTTACCCATCGTAGATGGCTTATGGGGAGTCAAATATGAGACATGCAGAAAAGCTGTTAGAGATCAGTGAAATATGAAATATTCACTTTCAAAGTCCAGGGAGACTTATTAGGTTACTGCAACTTGGTGCAGGTGAGTATTTACTCATCAACCCCCAACCTCCCTGCAAAGGAAATCATTTTTTTCACCTTTGAGAGGAGTGAGATTTACTAATTAGTCATGGTGCGGCCTCCCCTCGCTATGATGTACCGCCGGGTTGATGAGCTCTAACTCTGCCTTGCCGTCTTAATTCACAAAAGGTCAAATGGCAGAGTGAAAGCAGGTATTCCAGGTGTGTTAAAATAAGCCCCAATTAGGGAAAAATGCAAGCACACCCTCAAGTCTCAAATATCCAACTTGGAAGTAAACTTTCAGCAAAGCTCCTGAACTGGGGAAAATGTTTAATGCTGTGGCATGTCAAGAGTATTTTTTTTTCTACACATTCATTACATAAAGAAAGAAATGAGAATGATTGAGAGAAATAATGGGTTGTCAGCATTTAGAACTAACTGTAACAGTAGATTGTACCTCTTATGGAACCGGGTTAAAAGTAGTTGCTGCAATATTATTTTTACACCTGGGATTCAACTAGGTGAGAGCTTAGACTAAACATGTATAAAACTTCATAGTTTCTCTTTTGTGACACTTGTTCAAGCATCTTTAGGGTTGGAAAGAGCTAAATTTATAGCTGAGCGGACTAGAGATGAACAGAAATGGTTCTCAAAGTACCATATTGCAGTCTGACCAGATGTTTGTACTCACTGGTAAGAACAATTACTTTATTGTACCGTATGTTCAATAACCAAATTTGATTGATCCTTTATTAAAATGTGTACAAACTTAACAAACATCTGCTCATTTATCATTAGCATCTTTAAAAATCACTGTGAGGCTGTAAAATTCAGTATTGGGCAAGCTCTATAGTGACTATAGGGTTACAAAGACATTATGTACTCTCATACCAGAGCTGAACAGGGTCTGGCCAGCTTAAAAACCCCAGCTGAGAGCAAGGTAGACCTGGGTTAGATAACTGACAGTTAACCATTCTTACCAAAAGCAACAATTTTTTCTAGATTTTTTGTCTAAAAGGACATTAAAAGTCCACCCATACACATATAAGATGAAGTACAACAAGCACTGACCCTGCTGTTTGAATCTTCATGAAGCCCTGTGCAGTATGTTAATGGTTTTGTTGGAAACTTAGACTGGACTATTTGTAAGGTCTCAATCCAGCGGTATGTGTAAAGAACTCAGGGAAAGTTAAGACTTAAGTAAAATAGCAGAAGTTCATCTCAGGCCAAAAGTTGCCTTCTAGAAAGTAAGCGCTTGTTCAGGCTGCTGTTCGGTCTAAGCAGGAATGCAACCTTGCTCTGCAGTCAAACAGTGGTCACCCAGGCCTACAGCTTTCTTTGTACCGTTTATGAGGGTGTTCTAGATGAGCACACTCCATTTAAAAGTCAGTGGTGGATTTGCAGTCAAATTAAAACAGGAAGTATTGCTGAAGCTGTCAGTGCTACGCAGCTGAGTGGGAACGGACATGCTGCATGTGCACATCTTAAGAGTGGCTGGGTCACAAACAGTAGGAAACAAATGCAGGCAAACATTCACACAGCACTGCAGTCAAAGAAATCAAATTATTTACTTACCTTTCACAAAGCCCAAAAAAATAAGTGTTGTGACAACTGACATTTACAGTATAGTCACTGTGCAATTTCAGGAAGGTAGCCTTCTTCTAATGAGGATCTAATATTCATGTGGCGTTGATATTGATGTTGCACCTGAAATTCAAATCCTCTGCTCAGTCAGTGAGTGGTGTATTGTGGTTGTGTTAATGCTAAACAAAAGGTCTGCTATCTGCAGGCAAAGATCTTACTGTTGACCCAATATCAATTTCATACCTCAGAAATTATGTTTGTGCAGAGAACAAGATAGTTTGCAAAATCCACCCGATAAAGTCACTCATGTTGTTATTCTAATATTAGGGCATCATGAGTACAGTAATAAAGCAAACATACTCAACTGAAACTGCTCAGCAGAAATATTAGATCTAAACAACAAAAAACAATATAGCATATTATCAAAAGCGTTTGTGGTGAACTGAAGTACTGATATGAATAACTAGTTAATACAATCAAGAATTAAATTCTGAGAACAGCTGAAATACTTTAGTTTGAGTGTGCATGATTACAACTAGAAAATGTCCTTACTGCCTGCTTTATAAATGGAACTTGCAATATATGCTGAAGTAAACCTCTCTTGTTTAGTACCATCTACAAAAAGGTCAACAGGTTTGAGCAAAAAAAATTAAATAAGAAATCCAAACAGGTTTGGTAATTCCGAGCTGGCTCTTTCTCTCGTGAAACCACAACACATGCATAAACCCAAAGTGCCTTTTCTCTCTCCATTTTCATGGCAAGAGAGCAGAGGCCCAGCTTAATATGTTACTGACAGCCACTGTTGTGTTACGTGGCATCAGAACACAGTCTGGCTTTCACGCGAGGTCTTAACAGTGGACGAAAACAAGTATTCAAGAGGGTAAAGGTCACCTAACCCTTTCAGTGAGTCAGGTTAGCAGTTCTACATCACAATATACAGTACTTTTAAATAAATGTTACAGTGGGCGGATTTAAATTTAAAGAGCATTTACATCCTATGCAACTAACTTTATTGTAAGATATAAAGATCGCTTTTAAGAGTAAGAATTTTCAATTAATGCAGTATAACATACAAATAATACTGCATTATATATCGCTTTAATTATCAGTATGCGTAATATATACATAAAGAGTAAAATATTTATTACATTAATTCAATTTTAATATGTCTATACAGTTAGCTTTATGCAACAAAAATGGCATTATGTATAATTCAACAGTATTTGAAAATAAAATAATTTCATAATATCATCGTACAAATCAGACACAAAATAGCGACCTCACAATTATAAACTAATGTCGTTAATTACTCAGGTGAAATAACAATAAAATATTTTTGTGTTAAATAATGTTTATAATGCCCAACTTGTTTTTTTAATGTGCGTATATTTTTTTTAAGTTAGTGCTTTATAAATACTGTAAAACACAATTTAACTGCGTTGAGAACTAATAATACTTATATAATATTATCCGGTGAAAAATTCCAATTACAAGATCAAATCATCAATCGTATCAAAAAATTATATTGTCATTGTGTTGGAAAATATTTTTGTATTCAAGTTAATTGCATAACTTACTCATCACCTTATGTGTTTGATGAACTTCTAGCATGGATCATTTTTGTGATGAAAAATAAAAAATAAACCGCACAAACTGTGCATCGCTCTCAACATTTTCATAGCAAATAATTTCACTTTGTACTGGTAATATTAAGTTACTGTAGTATATAATTATATGTTTACAATTTAACACTGCTTCAACGTTTAATTCGGGACTTTATCAAAGTAAACCATATTAAATCCATCGAAAGCGTTTGTAAGATAGTTTAAAAAGAATGAAAATAAAAAAGGACATTTTCATGATAAAATCAAAATGCTCGACCACATAAAAAATAATCGTGCTGTATCTGACAAAAAGTAAACCTATAAATCATAAACTGAAATTTAACAGAAGTATTTTTTACATGTACCCGTTCAGTCCAGTTCAGTATTATTTTCAAAACTGTTCCATTGAAAAGTTTGCTTATCCCTCAAAATGCTGTTTTCTAACAGGATTTACGCTGCGAGTTCAGATTTCATTTTCTACAAGCTACATTACAGTTCATCTCTTTCGCCATTGCCTAAACCTAAAATGGACGCTGCTGGCTTTGAGTTATCGATGGCTAGGACCAGCTAAGGGTCACAGCTGTGCAGTTGTGCTTTTAGGAGGGAAAAGGCAAATGGATCCATGTTTTGGCAGTCTGCCAGGAGACTCCTTAAAATACAGTGAAGGCCTTGATTTAAAATATGCCACACCAATGTCAAAGGAAACTGCGTCATTACGCAGCAGAGGCTGGTGAGATAAACAACCCACCGTTTACAACAGACAATGGCAGGTGCAGCTCTTGTACAGAACAATGCTTTGAAGCATGTTCAAATTTTACTCTGTATGTGCACAGAAATAACCCAAGAAATCTTTTCATTATAGCTCAGGCAGCATTAGAGCCTAGATGAAAGCCTGTTTTCTCCAGACATCATCATGATGTTAGACCTCGTGACTGCACTGTGGGTGGAGACAATGAGCCAATAGAAAAACAGGATGGAGATTTAGAGCCCTTCTTGCATCAGCATTTTCCGGCTAAGCCTCAAGTGAAAGTTACGAGATCCATATCCATGATTATCTTATGAAGAGATCACAAATCTGTGTTAATAAAAAATGATTGCTGCTGACGAGTGAATGGCAGCACTGAATTTGATTAGCCATTTCTCACCATCATACCACGTAGAACTGGCAATGCAAGCCAGAGCTTAACCTCTATAAACACTGGTCTGTGCAGCAGACTGATATTTCCCTCAGGCAATCACATTCACTCACTGCAGCACCTTAAAGCATTCCTAGAATTGCTTTTCTCAACTTTTAACATGCCCAAATGTGCTTTAATGAACAGGTCAACACAGATCTTACCATTTGGGCGGACACGCTCCAGCGTCGAAGACATGAAGGCATGACAGGATGCAAGAAACCATGGATCTCCTGTGTTGAACAAAAAAAGAAAAAAACAAACATCATCAAACGTGGTGTGCGGCTTGGTAATAGTGAAGATACACATTATGTTGACACAGACATGGGAAATAAAAAGCAGAACGAAAAGGAAGACAAGCTTCAAAATAAAAAGCTATTTTATTTTTGTTTGGTTCATAACACTGCAGATTGTAACACGTTCAAGCTAAATTTGGAGTCAAAAAGTTACAATATATAAATAAATACTATGTTGCATAGGTCGCAATCAAATTGCTGATATGAAAGCAAATAATGGCTGTTACAGTAGTTTACCATTCTAAAAAATGCATGAGCTGTAGTTGTGTGTTATAGGATTTACTTTAAAATAGGTGGTATAAAAACGCATTAATTAGGAATAGGAATGAGAGTATTAAGTGATGCATCTCTTAATGTCTAATCTGCATGCAATAAACACACAAATCTTCATCCACTCAGTATTGTGGTCACTATTACAAATGACAAATGGTCACCAACATCGAAGAACCTGCTATAACTTTGTGATGCACCATAATTTTATGTTTTAAAAACAATAACAATTTTGGAAGCCATGCCGTCAAAAGGGCATAATCTGATAATATACAGTATATTTAGCAGAGATGTTTATTTAGACCTACAATTTGAAATTGCAACAAGTTACCCCAAGAAAAATGTATGATCCTAAAACTAGTTTTTTTTTCCCTTACCTTTCTAATTGCAAGTCCAATCATTATTGTCAGACACTGGATCAGGTTTGGGCCAGGCCTGAAAAATAAAAAATACTGCATGTTTTAAGTGTTTCTGTACGTGCTAGTGAAAATATTATCAACGAGAACTCAAAAACTATTAAGCAATATGACAAGACGAGACTAAAGGAGCTGTCCGGGAGCAGACGAGTATGCACTAAGTAGGTGATAATGAAGAGATCTGTCCAGGCTGGTCACTGATATGGCAAACAGATAAACATCACAGACTCACTGAGTGAAAGTAACTTGTAATGTCAGACTGAGGCTAGGAGCACTTTTGGAAGCCAAAGTTAATATTGCCTTCACCCTCCCTCACTGAAAGATTGGACTGTGAAAACAATATTGCAGCTGCTTTGACTGCTTTGAAAACACATTTCATTGCTCGGTGGAATTTGTGACTTTTCAATTTAAATCTTTCCTTCACTTTAACCGAAGTAGTGCAAATTCACTAAAAGACAGGTTGTCTTCCGTGAAAATTAGAGGCTTATTTTATCATGTTATAACTACTTTTTACAATAGAAATTATGATAGTAAGAAGAAGTTTCACTGACTATTATTACAGCACTTAACTGAGTCTAAAGCAACAAAGCTATAATAAATGATAATAAAATGTAACCTGTTACAATTACCTTTTCTTTCTAACTGATAAGCAATGCAGTGTATTGGAATTTGCAGAGTTAGTAATTAGTCCAAAATCCACAAAATATGCTAATTTATACAAAAATGTAAACAGATGTTTTAAGTATTAGATGTTTTAGAAGTCAATATCAAAACCAGTCATAGATTATTTCACATTACATAAAATGATACTTGTGTTCACAGTGTGCTTAGCCACTTTTTCAGAAATGCTGAATAACTACGGGTTAATAGATTCTACTACTAATTTCTTTCAAGCTGTCTGTAAGATATTGTAATTATTATAGAAATACCTATTGTAAGTATGTGTGCTTGTAAGATACTGTATATTCAACAGAAACATGAAGATTTATTTTCTTCACAGAAGCTAAAGTATAAACGTATATACCAATTATATAAATAGAAACATTTAAAAATCAGAAGACGCCGAAGACATTTATATAATATGCAGAGCCATTTTGGTTGCTCATAATAAAGATTTTGCCCTGAAAGCCTTTTGCACCAATTGGCGGTGATGAATCAAACAAAATGGCTACCAAGCGTACCAATAACAGACAGATACGCAGTGTTAAAGGGAGGAATAAACTTCCATCAAGTCAAGAATTGCATAATAACATTGGAACTGTCCAGATCCAGGGCTGCGTTGACCCAAGGATGGTGACTAGTGATTAAATAATCATTAAAATCAACTAAACACAACAAATTTAGGTTAGAAAAACCTGGTAAACATTCACTGTGCTGTTCTTTGTGCAATATATGCTTGAGCAGCAGTGGTCTGTGTCACTGAAGTACAATGCATCACCAGCCTTCCCATGTTTTTTCTGCTAACATCACAGTGCTATAGCAGCCATCTTGCCCTAAAAAGGCAGACGCTGGGAGGAGGGAAGAGGGCTCCCCCTAGTCATATGACTTAACTGTCTGCAGACAACTGCAGTGACAGAGCAAAAGCGTCTAGACAAGTCTGAGGCAGCAGCAGATCAGGTACACATGCACTGTCCCAACACAACTTCATTTGACTTCTACATTGTTTTTTCAGTTAAGTCTAAGTTTGGATTTATCCTCCTTCATGTCTGCATAGCAAGATGCAAAAGCTCATCAATTTGGGTAGGAAAGAATACAACAATTAACCTCTTTGAAAGTGTGGACGAGCTTTGTTCTAACTGAGTTCTAGTGAAGAGTGCAACATTTTAAAATATCTCATATATATTAGTCTCAGCTATTGAGGGTGTGTTAAAAACAATGCACAAAACATCTAGAACCTTCCATTTAAAGCGACGATACAGCCAGATTTAATATTACATTAAAATATTGTTGTGTTATAGTTAAGGACTAAAATATAGCACGAAAGAAAGCCGACACATATACTTTATGTGATGTTGTCGCTACTTGTGGGAACTTTAACGTAAATACTACTAAACATTTACAGAGCAAGTGGCTAAAACATTGTAGCTAATAAATGCAACAATCTGATAAACCTCATTAAACGTATGCAGCATCACCCTACATCACTGAAACCCTTAAAAAGTGAACACACTACCCGTGTCTCCACCTTCAGTGTGTACAGAAACCAACCTTTCTAAAGCTGGTGCAGGCTGCTTTCTGGATGGTGCACTCCTCTTGAACTCCAGCCTGATGATCCCCTGCAGAGCATAAACAAGGGCAGGAAAAGAAAAAATATATATATTTCATACAGGATTCATATTACCTCACCCCAGGGTCACATAGATTAGTTTAGATTAGTGCAATTAGCACGTGTGCATGAAAAAAAAGGTTTTTGTTTGGTGCTTTGTAATTATAAATTGTTATGGTTGTGTAGCTGAAAGGGTTAAAAAGAGGATTGATGAGTCAAAGTAAGACCGGGTTCCCCCCCCCCACACCCCCACACCCCCACCACCTCCTCCCTCAGGTGTCTGCTGAGTAACAGGTTGCCTAGCTTAAGTGCGCGTGGGGTTAATCAACAACCTCACGTCAGCAAAGGTGCGTCACCTGCGCATCCTCCTGAAGTAGCGTGAACGAGGTCAAGCCTCCAAAACAATACAGCTGCTGTGTGGAATTCGTATAAGAAATAGGAAAACACACACATACACACACACAACATATGACTTATTTTAACGGCCAACATTTATCGGGCTACCTACAGTTTGCTACGATAACTGGGTAATTTAAATTACAAGCACATTTTAATTACATTTTTTCCTCAAAACATTAAAAAATAAACATTTTGTTTCTGGCTAATGTGAAATGCTGCAGTATGACTGTGTGTCAGCCAACTTGCACTCTGGCGCCTGTCTTACCTGCCTGTGCATAAAGAGCTGTCTGCTGATAGACTGCAGGAAGAAAAAACTTTCACAGCGTTTATCTAAAAAAAAAAAATATTTTGGCTGAGCGTGGCGACTCGTGAGCGAAGGCGTTTGAGGAGGAGAGCAAAAAAATCCCATTTCCAGCAGGCGGCTTCCTTGTAAATGTGCAAAGAGATGTTAAAAAAAAACCTCCCATCTCCAATTTTATCAATTTCAGACAGACTCCAGACAGTCTCCAAGCGGTTACGTGCCTGCTTGTCCTGCGCGTGCACGCTGAATGGCGCGGGAAGCGGCGATAACAGATCCAGAGTGACAGCGCGAGCAGCCAATGGCGAAGAGGAGCCGGATCCAGCGTCCAATCACAGTGGCCGATAGGTATAAACCCCCCGCCCCTCCTTCCTCCTCCTCACCCGTCTGTTGACAGTGCACTGAATAAAACAACAGTCTGAGTTAAGCAGTTCAATGCACTGAGATGTGGGTCACTGACTGCAGCCTATCCTCTCTGGGAAAATTAAAGAAGCGTGGTATTATTCATTACAGAGAAATATCATGACCTCATACATGTACATAAATTATACAATTAATTGTACATCACATGGGCTTGAACCAATTAACTAAAATTATCATAATTTGCCTTTTCATATTTATTATTCATACTTTTTAAATGTATAGCATATAAAAGCACATACATATGACCTCAAGTGATAAAGTTACCAGACATGTTTTCGTTGGGCCCTGCGACTCGTGCTGTTTGTTTTAAATCTGAGACACCAGTTACAATTGCCAGTGATATATGCAGCAACCATTGTGTAAATACATGCAATACTTTGTTGCACATGACTACATACACCTGACTGAAAGTAGTCTGGTTATCAAGATGTCTCCCCTGATGCCTGCTGCCCAGGTCTCCATCTATTTATCTGCTTGATTAGTAAAAATAAATCTTCATTTTAAATATATTTATGATAATAGATAGATAGATAGATAGATAGATAGATAGATAGATAGATAGATAGATAGATAGATAGATAGATAATCAAAATACAATTTAAAAACTAAAATAGAACAATAATAATAATAAAAACCTCTTAAACTATAATATGTATTGAAAATGCACTGTACAATGATAGTGCAGTAATACATTGTACGTTAATAGTGCAAGTCAAATAGATAATGCAATACAGTGTATATGCTGTACAGCAAGGTGTAGGATTGTCTTTGGCTATGGACGTAGAATAACTGCATTTTCTGTATAAAAGATGCTCAGAATGGATGCTCAAATCCCAGTCCAGTGTCCCCTGAAAGATATGGGATTTAAACCCCAGTCTCCTATGTGGGATTGAAATAGACATCCACAAATCTGCCAAAAGAAAATCTTCCCATTGGAGTATATTAAGCTAATAGTTCTCGGGCATGGCCACATGGTAACACATTCCTTTGACCTACCCTCATTACGAAAACTGCTCCAACTCAGACACCAGTCTCAGAAGGTCTCAGACAGAGTTAGTCTGCAGCTAAACACAATGCATAATGATTGAAAAAAAGTGAACATTTCTTTCATTTAAAGAATAACATATTGCAGGCCCATACACTCCCACTCCACAGCTCCCGTATCACTTTCTCAAGACAGTTGCTGATACTTGTGAACTGACAGCAAAAACGTATTGTCCCACACAAAACAACTTCCAAGTTGGATTTAAATTCTGTCAAAGAATACACACAAGGCGTACAGACAAGTTTGTTGTAAAGAACCTCTCTCCTTTAGATGGGAAATAACAAGTCTTGTCCCTTCAGCTTTGCACCCTTTAATTTGCATTGTCATGGAAAACCGCTGGATTTGGATAGGGCACAGAATCATTGAGGTCACCATAATAGAGTGTGACAGCTCCTCTTTTCACAACTATTTGTAAAGTAAAATCAAAATTCCTGGGAAAGTGAATCTAGGGGGTATAGAAATATCTCATACAGCTTTGGAAACAGCTGTTAAGACTGCATATTTAATAAGCCATGGAATACATATTGATATGAATTATACCTGCATTCATTTCAAACTGGATACATGAGGGTTTGTATGTACAAATAACAGAAAATGTGAGTTTGGGAGATTGAAACATCAGGCTTAAATTTAGAAAGTATATTATAAAGAAGCAGCAGCACTGGGTCCTTTCCATTTTTATTTTTTGTTTGTACACTACTTATTATAAATATCGGCCTGATTACTTTGACTGCAGCAGCAACTACACATGACATGCAAGGTGTCTCAGAGTGCTGTGTATAAATTGCATTTCATATGACTTTTAAAGAGAAAAGAAAAAAACATTTGCCAACTCAACATCTTGTCTGTACAATCCCCACAGTCCATTAGAATTCACAGACTGTCTTTCACTAGGAAAGCCCCTTTACGCTTTCTCAAATTAAAAATCTCATGGCTGATCCCCTCCATCGCCCTGGCTTTCAGATATTGACCTTGTGGTGCTACAAAATAGCTTCTTCCTCACTGCGGGACCCCATAATGAGCCAATACAATGAGGCTTCAGTTCACTGCTCACCTCTCTTTGGTGTCTCTCGGGGTCTTTGTTGACGTTTGTCAGCCCAGGAGGAATTTGGGGGTTAGAATTCTGCTGTAGTCTAGCTGTAGACTCAGACAACAACTTTGACTCCCAGACAGAAGCATGAAGGAGGAAAAAACTTGGTCAGAGATAAAAAGGCTTCGACCTTACAGGGAAGAAAAATCAAAGGAGTGACTTGAATAAAGATTAAGCACCATTCTGAATTTCAGCCAAATTGGCCAAGATTTGGAAAGGGCAAGCATTTACACACCTGGCATCTCTAAAATTGGAAACCAAGGAGGGTCATACTTTTAAACTTGGACCAATTTCCCTGCAAAAATTTGTTGTGCAATGTAACCTGAATCCAAATAAAGAAAGGTGGGACTGTTTGGAGTGAGTTCAGTTATGTCCATATAGACGTGTCAAACTGCAAACAGCTCTACACAAAATCTGACTGGTAAGCAGTTGGGCAACCCCATTGTATGTCTCATCTACGAACCCTGCCAGTCAACCCTGCACTGAGATGAACCCCAATCTAATACTGTACAGAGCTGAATGAAGTAGAACTAATTATATTAGTTATAATGTGTCCATGGAAGTTGAAAGTCACTGCTAAGATGTGTGTGCAGCATGCATGTATTTAATATATAAAAAAATTTACTCAACGTTAAGTAAATGAAACAAGAATATGCCCTGAAATCCCTGGTATGCCATCCTTGTGCCTGGTGTTAATGTAGCCTAATTATAATTATAAAGCAAACAGAAGAAAAACATAAAATATTGACAATGCCGTTTCTGTTCTATTCTAGCCATCTTAATATATCATAAAGCAAATATAAACACATTTTCATGCACAGTTCTCACCAGAAGGCTGTGATTACACATATTGATGTAATTATGTGTGAATAGTTAACACAGAGAACAAAGCAATGCTGAATATGCAAATGGTTGTCATATTAATGGTCTGGCCTTTGTTTTTTAAAATAATTTTATATGAAGCCACTGTACTCACAATAACAACAAGCCAAGCCAAATATACAAGGCATTTACTGTGTGTTTCCAATTCAACCCCAGAAGAACGGAGACTTTGTGAACTATGTGATTTACGAGAAGTGGAGAATGAATCTCATTTTCTTTTATACTGTCCCTTCTATGATGAACTAAGAGCCCCTGTTGTAAATGAACTGTTTGCTCAAAACCCTGAAATATTTTGGAGTAATGATGATGTCAGGATGTAATGTTTATAAGTTAGCCTCTTTTGTTACTAAAGCCTGGATGAAACGTCAGGATGATTTATATCGTTAATGTTAGTATTGTTTAGCATCTACTTTTGGTTTTTGGTCTGTCTATCTTTTATAATGGTGTCTTGTAAGCCCTTGTGGGCTGGGCATGCCAATGCATAACACAATAATAATACAAATTCATTCATTCATTCATTAATTCATTCATTCATTCAACCTAAATATATTAATCTAACCTACTGTACATTCATAGTCTACTAGTATTTCCTATAAAAATGTATACCTATAAAAGAAGAAGATATCTATAGAAGTCTGAATTAAACCTACTAATATGTGTTTAAAGGAGCAACACTGAAACAACTGTATAACCTATCCAACAGTACAACAAATACATTTCCCATAACAAACGCTTGTGCGTGCAGTTATGTGATATATTGTACATCAGCAGTGCAAGACAGACCTATAATGGTCAGCCAGTGTGTTTACCTGCCCTGTCAGACAGACAGCTCGCTCATGTGCAGCAAACCGCTCGGGGTAGCTTGGTGTTTCCCACCCACAATGCATCATCGCTGCAAACACAGCTCTGCCATGTTTGTACTCCGTCCGCGGATGGAAACCTTTGCCGCATAGAAGCTGTTCTCCTCACGTTTTTTTTTTTTTTGTTTTTTTTTATATATACGCGTCGTAATGGTGAAATACTGAAGATTAAATGCACTTCAGTTTTGTAGTCTGACTCTAAGCGGGACGCGCCTTGCACCATGTCAACCAACGCGCAGGGTGAGTACAATGCGACAATGCTGTGTTAGCTCTGTAGCCAGTCGAGCTAACACGACTAGCTACGGTTAACAGCGGCTGCATTGACGGTAGGCCACACACTGAACCTCGGCTGTGGTCTGCTAAATTATCAGTAAACAAACAAACAAACAAATAAACCATCCAGTGGCCACCAATGGTTGACACTCTTGGTTGTAAACAGAGACAAGTAGCGCTAGCTCGGCAAGTAACTTATTAACTTGATGTTAGCTTAGCATGATGTGCGACATTTATGGGAGTTTGTGTTGGTTGAATATTGCCTACAAGCTAAGTCGGCCTAATCGCGGGTTAACGTGGGTAAGCTTTACATTTTAAACTTTAATTTTCTTGCTTTAGATTGTTAGCAGCTGCGTTTTGTAAATAAGCAATGTAGCTAGCTAGCTAACTTAGCTAACTTTACCCATCTCGTAGAACAACGTAGAATAACATATTGAGAGTAGCGTCGACGCTGGTGTCCGGTTTGCTACGTGCTAAGTGACTCTGGAAATGTTAAAGTTGCTAACAGTGTGTGTTAAAATCAATAATGGCTCCACAACGTCAAATATTTGGGGGGCTCAAACGCAAGCTAACGTTAGCCGCCGCAACACTGCTGATGGGCGCTATCCGTGATTCCGCAATCGTTTAGAGGAAAAACACGCAGTTCTTCGGCCGCAACTCATCCCCACTGCTATGTACTACTATTACTACTGTTAAGTCATAGCGTTTTAGTGTTGGTGTTGTTTATTTTCTGGCCTTGTCGCCAAGGTTGGGACCGAGTGTGTAAGGACACTTGATATATGACGCAGTTTAGTGTTTTTATTCCACATCTGCAGTTTTTCATTAGCAAAGTGCTTCAAGTGGCCATCAGAGGATAGGTAGCTTCTCAGTTAAAGTTCAAAGTCTATACGGGTGACTGAAGGTGGCGAAGTGGCATTAAAGGGGGGTAGAGTTATCTCACTGAAGCTGGATTCTCCAAAGGATGTGGTCTATGAAGATGGTCTTCTGAGGACCTGGTGGTCTGGCTTTACCTTACAGCTGCAGTAGGTAACTTTAATAAAAGTAACTTTTATTAAATCATGTTTGCTGAAAATGTCACTGCATCCTTATACAATAGTACATAAGCAGATAATGGCATTTGGAAACAACCAATCAGAGCCGATAAAGATAAATAGACGCTTTGGGTTGGAGGCTTTAAGATAGTTGATTTCTAAGTCTCGTTCCCAGGGTCCCAGAGCATTTGTATTTGACGCCCTGGGGAAAGGACTCAACAAGCAACTATCCTTCTTCCTTTTCTCAGGAGCACAAGGACCAACCAGAGGAATCAGATTTTTTCCCCCAAAGATTATGTGTCTTGTGTTTCAGCAAATATGACAAATAATTGATAATTAAAAAAGATCAAATTTACCTACTGCAGCTTTAATCTCTCACCCTAATGAGAACACGTTTCACTACGCCTTAATTCTACAGTATGATCTTTAAACTTAAAACACGACAACTGGCATTTAGTCAGGTTATATGTCCATTTAACTAATATATTTTGTATTGACCTGTGATTAACATACTGTACAACTTCAGTTAATAGCCCCGGGCTTTTATTGGATTCAATCACTGAACTCAACCTCCCTTTATTTGGAATAGGCATCTGTATGAGAATTTCCTTTGTACAACATTCTTGCTTACCAAAGATGGGAAATACTATCAAATTGATTATTTAAACCAGTATGAAAATTGCTTCTACAGTATAAAAATGTGTTTATCGAATAATATAACAATTGCAAATCATTCATTTGATCTTGGTGCTCATGATTATGTAAAATAAACAGAATTACTGAATTGTGGAGAATCTAACTGATCTAACAATGTGGATGTCCATATTAATAAAAGTCTAAGCAGCTTAGAACTCGCTCAAGCGGTCCAAAGAATATCTATAAAACTCAGACCAGGCGTCTAATTGAGACCAAACGTATAGCCACTTCAGGCTAGTTAAAGTGGAGTTTAACGGTATATTCCAACATTATGCAGCAGCTTTTCTCTTGGTAAAGTTTGCTTCATTAACCAGTTACTCATTATCATTTGAATACTAAAACTTGGTAAATATGGCATGGTCATATAATATTTGCCAGACGTATGAGTTTGTGAATACTGCCTGTGCCGTCCATTAAACCACCGACTGGTGCAAAATGAAGTGTTGGATACAGAGGGTTGCCAGCCAGACTATTCTGTCTGAGTAGGTCTTGAGAGACTTGAGAGCTTCAAGTGCAGAGACTGAAATGTCAGACCTCATCTTAAAGGTCCCTTGTGTAACATTTAGGAGGATCTTTTGGCAGAAATGCAATATAATACTCACAGGTATGTTTTCATTAGTGTATAATCGCCTGAAAATAAGAATCAGGTTTTCGTTACGTTAGTGGGACCAGGTCCTCTTCCCCAGAGGACGCCATGTGGAACCGCCATGTTTCTTCATTAGCCTAGAATGGACAAACCAAACAGGGCCTTTTGTGTTTTCTTGAGTTTTGGGAACACCATAGTTTCTCCAATTTCTCAATCTGTTCTCAAGTACATAATAAGTAAATAATAAATTAGATGATTGCTGACTTTCATTCAGTTGCTTTAGTTTCATGGTCCTGGTCTTGCATGCTGGCTCACTGTAAAACTGTCATAATAACTTGCACCCCTTCACCTCTGTGGGTGTGCACGCTGTCCACAACAGTTAATGTGTACGTAATCATGCGAACCACACTCTGATCCATGTGGATGCTCTGGACAAATCTAGAGCAAGCACATGGGAGAAGAAGAAAGTTTTGTTTTGACATTGTACAGCTTGGTGGTTGATTTCTTCTGTGTTCTTCTCATCTTTATAATGATGTTTATCTGAATTATGAGTTTGTTTTGAAGAATGCAGACAGTGTTTGTTCGGGCCAGCCACATAACAGGGAGCTGAGTGCAGTCGGCACCAGGGCTGGGTAAAAATATCGATATGGCAATATATCGCGATACTTTGCCGCCCGATACAATATCGATTTTTCAACTCCAAAGATCGATTTGTTTTTTAAAGAATATGATTCATGTTTAGACGTGTTGTGAATACAGTATGACTTCCGTACCTCCACTCTGGTAGATGGCGCTGAAGAGCGACTCTGCTGTGCGACACATGTATTTCTATATTAGAGAGAGTGGCTGAGGACTTTCCAAAATGGCTATCAAAATAACAACGCCTCCGCAGTTTAAAGCCGACGTTTGGAAGCACTTTGGCTTCCAAGTTAAAAGAACAATGAGTTGGATAAAGATAATGCCGTTTGTAAGCCTTGTCTCACTGCCGTGAAATATTGTGGGAACACAACGAACTTGCGAGTTTACCTAGCAAGACACCACGCTGAGATATTAATTTCAGCCGTCCTGCTCGGTGCTCCTCAGAGTACACCGAGCTAAACGGGGGCACGATGACTCGCAAAACAAAGATGGCTGCGCCCATATTGAGATGTATTTTCTTTGTATTTGTACTACGTTGGTCTTTTTAATGTTAATTTTAAATGCTCTTACACACATTGCTGCTTTAGTCCGGTCACCAATTTATGCATTGCACGGTGTTGCTGTGCGTCCAATACAATGTAAAGTTTTGTTTTCGAGCTGGTTTGCTAAATAGGCTTATGTAGCTAACAATAACACTAGCCTGCCACTGCCCCTGGAGGCCCCGGGTGGCCCCTGGTGGCTCCTGGTGGCCCCTGGAGGCTCGAGAAAAATGCCACAGCACTTGTTGAAATTGAAATAGGCGAAAATGGCAAAATATTATTGAAATGTAAGACTTGCAATAACGGAATTACTTGAAATGTTAGTGTTTTGTAGAAAAACATTATTTCACATTGAGCTTGTTTAGATGAGCCACAAGCAATAACAACACAGCTGATGCACTAGTGGCATCCATGTTCTGTTAAATTGATAAAAGGAAATTAATAATTCATAAAATGGAGAGGCTGTTTTGAATGAAATAGCTTTGACTCAATTTGTCCTCTGATCAATTTCATCTGATGTGCATATACAGCATATTTCATCTCTATTTATATCGTTATATAGTGATACGTATCGTATCGTGACCAAAGTATCGTGATACGTATCGTATCGTGAGGTTCTTGCCAATACTCACCCCTAGTCGGCAGATTGCAGTTGTTGAGGTTATTGAGATGATGTGTGACTTTGAAGGAATTAAAGTTTGTATGTATGCGATTAACATTAATATAGAAGCAAACATCTATTTGCAATGTAAAGATATAGTGGAGTAATGGCGTTCTCTGTGTGTATTGTTCCCTGGACTGCTCAGTTTATTTTTTATACAGCCGGGAAGCTCACGCATGAGACTGTTGGCTTTTGGCGTTCGTTTCCTCATCTACCTTAGTGAATTAAGAATTTATTTCGACCAAACCAGAGCTGGTGATTGTTGTGACACTGGAAAGTTTGAATTAACTTATGATGTTACGATGATGTGCAAGGTAAAATTACTGTTTTTGTCAGTGGAGTCTGGTGGCGAGTGAGATTAATTCACCAGTTTTTTAACCAGAAACAGCTGATATGGCTGGCTGTTCCTGGTTAAACAGAAAATATCTTACTTCTAACAATCTGAGCCTATCGGTGGCAAAAACAAGCACTTTTAGTGGACGTACTTTGACAGGTGCATTATTTGTCCTCAAGGATAACATTGCTGCCACACAGCTAACTCTTGAATTAAGGGTTCAGACCAAACAAGCATTGGTGATTGTTGGAACAAGGATAGTTTTAGTCTGA